ATATTTTAGGATATCCTAATGCATGACTATGTTTTAAATTTCAAAGCATTTCGTCAAAAAACAAAGGAGATATAGCCATTTAAAGTTTCAGCCAATCAGATTGCAGCACGCGCGCATGCGCATGCTTTCAGGAAAATTTTTATATATCATGCTGTAGATCTTCATAATGTTGGACTATGTTCCAAATTTTTAAAGATTATGACAAGAAACAAGAAAGATATTGAGACTATAGTTTCAGCCAATCAGAGTGAAGCGCACGTGCATGCGCGTGAGATCTTGCTATTTTGACCATGCCATCTAGTCTATACTACTAATGTATCCTTACATTATGAGTCTCAACAAAATTCATCGAAAAAAAAGAAAAGTTACAGCAATATCCATTATATTGGTCATTTCATGTGTTGCACGTGCGCACTCTTGCAAGCACGTGCGCGCAAAATGACCTTCGTTTGGCAAATCTACATAACATGTCTACTGACCCTAAAAACATTTTACCTTAGTCAGATGTATAGTTTACAAGATCGCTCGTGGACAAAATTTTCCCAGGAAGAAGAAAAATAATAATAATAATAATAATAATAATAATAATAATAAGAAACAGAGTAAAAACAATATGTTCCCCAACTTCGTTTGGGGAACATAATCAAATATATGATTATAGAAACTAGACACGAGTAAAAGATTTTCTAGTTTTGAGTTATAGTCATACTGATATTTTTGTGTTCTGAAGTTTTGACAGGTACAGTTCAGTTTGGTAGAGACATCTGCGATATAAGTTAAATGAATGTGTTAGCAGAAGTGGCTTTTTTTACCAAATTTTACCAAATAAAAATTGTATTATCTAAACTATTAGCAATTTCCTTCAAAAGAGTTGGCTTAAAAAGAGCAACAAAAAAATCCTGAAAGCCAAAAATGGTATTTTTTCATATGCATGTGTTATGCATGTTCCTTGCGAATAATCACGTCTCTTATCAACATTTTGAATTACAATGTATAATTTTTCGAAGATGTCTCATATCGCAAAATAATTGTGTAAGGTGGTTTTGCCTGTAATGAAAATCTTTGTATACATATTGCAAAACAGCTTCCTTAGAAAGTAATATTTCTTAATTCCAATACAACTTTAGTTGAATTTTTCATTGTGACGGTAGATTTTAGTTTTCGCTTATGACGTTGCACGTTTACGGCGACGTGTCATACTTTATATTTTGTCTTTCTGTTCATGTAATGGTATTTTGAATGTCGTGGCTTTTAAAACAGTTTATAGGCAAACGCAAGTGTCATGTTAAAAACATCAAAATGACCTTATTGAAATAATTGTTGCCCGATACCATTCACACACACTCATAGAGATAGAAAATTGTTTTCAAACAAATCTGATTACGATTCATTCTGTCTAAATAAACACGAAAAAGGGACTCAAGCAGTTGCGACACGTGTCGATAAGGGATGTTTGCTTATTCTTGGCACATGTGATTCTAAGGGTCCGTGCTAGATATTATGAAAAATATTATTCAGTAATAACTAGTCACAGTTACACCCCATGATCTGTTTAATAGATTTTTTTCAGGTGTTGTGTATGCATTTAGGAAGTGCTCAAGTTTTTTCCCTTTTAATTAGGATGCAATGTTTTATAACAAAATTAACAAAGCATAATTACAAAGCTCCATCATTAAACAAAAAATCTGTCTAATTCGATAGTACGTAGAATGATAAAAATTATTTTGTGTAATAAACACACGTGGAAACAAATTGAATAACAAGGAATGATGCACGAGATTGTGTTGTTTACCTGTATCGCCTCTCTACTAAATATGCTTTTCCTTTATGAAATATATTCATGTACTTAATGATGATTCCATATTGGATCTGTAAACCAAAGAAATTCAGAGGTAAAATGGAAATGATACTATATCAGTACGACGCAGACTTACACTTGTTTGCCGTTCTAGAGAATAATAATTAAAAAAAAATTATTTCATACATGTATCATGCATTACGTTATTATATCTCGTCCCTCGATCGTAAACGTCCTATCAAATCCTAAGATCTATAATCTGAAATAATAAATTCATACAATTTAGGAATGTTTAAAAGATAAAAGATAGGTCTTTTAAATCTTGAAGGGTCTACAAATTTACAGATTCATTATGCCATTGCGGCTTATTAACCAACTTCTTGAATATTTTACTCGAAAAAGTCTAACAACCAAGCTCTATGACTTTAACTTTTCCATCGTCAACTTGCCTTACTTATGCAGCAATATACCTTCTTCACCTGCATACGGAGTTTATATATCTCAGTTGATTCAACACGCAAGAAAATGCTCTACATATGAACAATTTCTTAAACAAGGTAAATTATTGACAAAAAAGTTGATGAAACAAGAATATCAGCAGTCCCGTTTAAAGTCATCATTTCCTAAATTCTATGGTCGATACAATGACCTTATCAACAAATCCAATTTATCATTGAATCCAATGCTGACTGATTTTTTCATAGTTATTGTTAGTCCATTATTTATTCACTGAATTGACGACAGATTTTTTTTCATTATTCCCCGATCATGACAAGAAGCACATAGCGGGTGTGACCGGTCGGCAGGAAATGCTCACTCCTCCATGGCACCTGATAACACCTCTGATGTTTTGGAGGTCCGTGTTTGCTCTGCTTCTATTTTGTACTGTTTTATGGACTTTGATATTGAATATTGTTCGTTATCTTCATATCAGTCACCAATCTTCATTTTCATTCCTACATTGATTAAATACATTCATTTAAGAAATAAATAACAAGTTTATAAACTTCAATGGGAATTGAAGTGGGTCGGTCACGTGATCAAATCCTGTGAAGGCCGAAGGCCTTCTCAGAAGATTTGATCACTTCAATTCCCAGCAGTTTATAAACTTGTTATTTATTACTTATATATATACATTTGAGATGGACAAATAAATATTAGATTAAATATATTCGGATATAAATATTGCACTAACCGGTCGCCGTAGATTTCCGTCAAAAGTACGCAAGGTGTAAATCGGCTTGAAAGGCGGTTACGCTTCGAATTGGTCAGGCTTAGAATTCTATATCGAAGGGAATATTTTGTTAAAGGCTACTTGTGATCAGTAATTGTGAATAGATTTTTGTCTGGGAATATTTTTATTTGTGAAAATTGATCATTAATGCTGAAAAGAGTTCAAAAGACACAGGAAACACGTCCGAGAATGATAAAAAGTTGGAGGAATTTCGGTCGCTTGAAAGGGATGGATGGATCCGATGGATTGAGACACTTGTCCGAGCCATTTAATTTGCAATCAAGTATTAGGCCTAATTTTGATAAAAAACATTTTTATCTACGATTTCAGTAACTAAAGGCATATTTATGATATTAAGACGGAGACACTGGCGACAGTTTACATTGAAGTACGACAGCGCCGATCGAGGTGTTTCACAGCTGTTCGTGGCGTGACTGCAATGCTTTGATATTTTCCAATAGATTTACACATTTATCGTGAGTAGAATTTAATGAAAAAAATTAGTTTTAGCCTATATCATGAAGATTTAACTTAAGGTCTAACAAAAATAAGGATAAACTAAAAAGTTAGAGACTGTGCAGTTGACAAAAGTGACATACATGTACAACGTGTAAACAAAGGCTAGATTCTATCGGTATATTCTCAATGTACACAGGTTAAATCGATCGCCAAAAATGTATGAAGTATTTGATCACGTTGTAAATACAACAATTATTTCACTTGCTTATTTTGTTCATCTTTAAACATGAAAAGCAAGTCATTTTATTTTTATAAGTAACGATAGATATTATTGCGCCGTGTGATTCGGCCATGTATTGACCTTTGACCTCGGACAAACTTCATACAGAATTGAAGATATTATCTCTCTGTATGTTTATATAGTGGAAAGATACCACAAATGTATATATTTGAAATTGAAATATATATATATATATATATATATATATATATATATATATATATATATATATATATATATATATATATATATATACAACAGCAATCTTTACAAACAAAAATTTCTAAAATGATACATGCTTTTGACAAACGAGTCAGTGGAACAAGGATATCCACAGTCTCATTAGAAGTCACTATCTCGCAAATTCTATGGCAGCTCCAGTGAAGATCTAACATAAGTTGAATGCTCACTGATGTTTTTGCACACAAAAGGTTACGAATTTTTCCGTTTGCTTGAATATCACAAGTTAAAAAAACGCTATAATATTGAAATATTTGTTATAAATCGGTCACAACTTAACGTGTTGGTACCTTATCATATCTACCCGAAAACCCTAAGAGCCTTATGGAAATTCGATTTAAACACATGGCTAAAACCGTATTTATATTCCAAGAAACGTTTAAAATTCCTTTATTTCTTCGATATTTTATATTAAAAAAAAAAAAAAAAAAAAAAATATATATATATATATATATATATATATATATATATATATATATATATATATATATATATATATATATATAACATTAACAATATATACATTAACATATTTTTTGTCTTGGCCACGTGGTTCTTGATGAGAAATTGTTGAATGATGTCAATCATTTCTGTATAAAGTGTACATAGATGATCCTTGATTATAACAATTCTGAAATCACTATAATGTACACCAGGGGGTGCTATTTGGCTTTTCGGCACGTTTTGGCTTAAATTGGCCCATTTGCTCTGGAAAAGCTGACAATGTGAAAAAAATATAGACATCACACACAAATCATAAAAGATGATAAATAGAAGGATAGACAGACAAAAATTGGACAAACTTTGACATAAAAATCACTCAAAATTTTGGCTCATGTGAGCTAAATGTAAATAGTCAGATGAATACTCCCGGAAAACTCCTGTTACTAAAATAATGATTGAAACTGTTTACTTCAGTGACAATCTGTATGCTATTCAGCAATGTAAAGCTTGTAATTTCCACTGGTAATACTATAAGGAATTTCAATGTTTGTTGAAACCAAGGAAGAAGAAAAGTAGAAATGCGTAACAAGGCTGGCTCTCTGTCTTCGCATCAAATTGCTGTACATAATGTACGAACACCAAGCACCAATCTGAAAACCAATAGATGGGCGATCGATTCCCGGTTGTGTTAAATAGCGATACCTCAATTTTTGATCCATACCTTCAGCGCTGGAAATGATGTACTCAAGTCTGGTCATTGGCGCTCTTACTATTCTAATCAGTTTGGATCGTGCTAGGAGCAAAGTTCCCCTTTACGTAGGAGGAATACTTGGATCTACAGACGACTCTTGGTCGAAATATGCTAACTTTTATAACATACTTTTTAAAGTTGCATTTGAAGAAATAAACAAGACAGATATTCTACCAAATCATGAGCTTGTGTTTGTGTCGAAGAACTCTAAGGTAAGTTTTTTTTGAATTTCTGTGGCTTCTGTTTGAAAAATTGTGGTAAAGACCATCATATGATGATAACATATTTATTTCATTATGCAAATTATGCCGAAATAAAATTCGATGTGTTGGAGAAACGTTTATATACTTTGTATTGGTTGAAGTCTTATATGCATGAATTAACACAAGAAAACATTGATGTAACCATCAATTGTCGCCCGGGAAATAAATAAAGTAAACAATGGAAATGAGTCTTGATCATCAAACCGCTTCGATATGTGTAAAACATGCGTCTAAATGATGGAGACGATAGTCGAGAATATTTTGAAAACTTATAGTCGGATGAAAATCGAACAAAAACGATACACTTTTAAACTTTATCAATTCCTCAAGTAAATGTTGGCTGCATAAAATATAAATTGAAACCAGACACATGCATCACCTATATTCAAAATGTATTTCACATTAAGAATATAAAACACGAACTGTATGGAGTACGTTTTTATGCGAAAGTAAAATTTGATGTTCTAAAAAAGGGACCTGTCGTTTTTTCGATAGTAAATGATAAGCAACTTTATGTATTAAATATGAAAAACATATATATTTTTACAAATTCACTTTATGGAAATATATTATGTTAGCATACATGTTATGATGTCGTTATTAGATTTGTCAGCTTTTGACTAAACACTACTTCTGCTTTGTTATGTATCAAAATAACCAATAACAATGGGCACATTGGTTCAGAAATCTTAGCGACAAAACCCTTGAAATAACCAAATTTGAAATAGACTTTAAGTGAAAAATATTTCATTGAATTTATAATTCAACTCTAGACATATGTTAGTCACTGTAACTTACATCTTGTACAAAATGTCAATAAAATATCTAAATTTACAGCTCTCTATCGGCAAATGGTGGCATTTTAATATGAATGAAAAATTCTTGGAGTGATGTTAAACAAACAAACAAAAAAACTGACAATGACAGACAGACAAGCAAGCAAATTTCAAAAGAACAAACTACTAATATACGAAAATGCTAAAGGAACACATCCAATTAAAAACACAGAGGAATATTATTCAAAAATTTTCACAAAATTGATCACTGAACTGTAACCTAAATTATATTTACTGTGAAGTTTTTAAATTTGAAACAAATATCGTGTATGAGATGCATCAATTGAAAAAAAGAAACATGCAGGAAATATGAGATCACTCTTGTTAAATCGAATTTAAGTTGTTGACAAAGAAAAATTAGACCCATCCAGATATAATTTTTTGCCCGTTTCTATTGAATGCAAAATATGAAGTCCATGTTGGATGATTGACAATGAAGGAAGAATTGCGACTGATTGCAATGTATCTTAGATTTCCCACGTTATAAAATACCGACAAAGCCAGGTTTATTGTAGGTTGACTTACATGACTCAATAACTTTCTTATTTTAGTCATTTTTTGTGATAGCATATAGTACCTCAATCCTTTGCTCAATTTTGATTGCAATTGTTCAATTGATGTTTTCAGAATTGAAAATGAAATAAAATAAATGAAGTTTTTTAATTAATGGTATTAATATCTATATAAATTTTATAAATCAAGATTCAAAGATATTATCTGACTACATGTATTTCAAAGTATAATAGGGTATGCAGACAATTCCTTATGTTTAGCTAAAAGGCAAACTGTGAATTTAACAATTGTTATCGATCACTCGAAAGTCTTCGAACTGTCATTGATCAAAGATACTCAGTTCTACTATCTGTAAGTTAATGGTCTTATTTTGACCAAGGTGTTAATTTGTTATTACGAGCATGTTTTAAATCATGGTTTTGGCATTTATTGTTACGTGTAAAAGATATGGACAAATTAAAGGGTATCTCGAAGTAGTTTTTCATTGAATGTCTTAGCCTTAATTGTTACATGGCAAATTAGTTGTGCGATATATCCTGGAATTGATTGACCACGAGATGATTTACAGTTTAAAAGTGCAAATAAGACCATGGAAAAGTACAACTTTTGTTTCTCTGTAAATGGGAACGCCCATACATAACAAAATGCAATAATGGTAAATCAAAGGGAATAATAAAATGTGCAAATTGCAATGAAAATTTTTAAAGAAGTTTTCTTAATTTTTTTTTAAGCACAAACAAGAAACTCGATGTTTTACCCAACACAGATGTTGGAGGTGATGAAAGGGAATGTCCATTCAATAACATTACAGAAATATTTGCCTAGGTATTGTTTATAAGAATTTGTGCGTGTCTAATAGCTTCTAATATCAAAGGAATTTACTAAAAATATACACTTTGTGAAGAAGAAGGAAGAAATAATCGATTTAACATCTTAGCAAGCATACTGATTTCTTTCAATTCCTTTGAACAAGACTGCACATACATTGTATCTATAGATTTGGTTGTAAATTTTTTTCTTAAGAATTAATACTAGTTTTCGTATGCTTTAACTTGTTTTCAACTTCTGAATTTTCTCTGTTTACCTTTTATTTTAAGTAACCACCATGTTATACAATAGTTTTTGGTTTTCTTTGAAAAATAAAAGTCGTAGGGAGCTCATTTGAATGTAAAAGACAGTTATGCTTTCATAGCATAACAGAAACACGTTGGTAGGATTAGTTTAGAAAAAGATCACCTGAAAAAAATAAGGGAATAAAAGCATTCGACAATTGACACAGTAACCTGGTATATTAAAAGATGAATGGGAAAAGACGAAACTAGCTATCTAAAGCAATTTCACTTTTTTGATTGTTTTGAGATATTTTTTAACAGAGAATAATCTCTAAAAGTACCATCATAATGATTAAAAGAGTGACGTAAATCTGTTGCAATTTTTTAGGTAGGATTCTTCTCATATTTCTTGTATTTAAAAATTAATGAAATTTTCACAGAATCAAGAAGACAATATCACTAAGTGATGATATCAGTGAAATTAAATTTGACCGTTTTATATTAGTGGCAAGGTCAGGTCAAGGTCATTATCTTTTTCCTTGACATTAAGAATAAAAAATAGTGTTGCCAATCATGTGATGTCTACTTCTATTTCAAAAGTTTAAAGATTGTTCTTTTTGCATTAAAAGATATTACTACATCAGGTCAATAGCATGACATTACTAAATTTACATAAATAATTTATCTAAACTGGATATTGGCTAATCCGAATTTTCTCTGTTTTTCTTAATTTTTTAGGATATATTAGTTATTTTCCTATGCTTCCTATATATAACTTTTTGTTATTTTCACATATAATAAAGTAGTCTTATAAATGTACAAAATGATACAAAAACAAAAAGTTTTGATCGTTTACTAAAAGAGAAAAAAATAACTTCTTATGGATTTTTGGTTCAAATCTGTACTTTGATTGGGAGCGTTTAAAAGCTAACATAGTTCTAGTTTGTTTGAAAAATCATATTTCTAGTTTGTTTGAAAAATCATATTTATTTGATATATTTTGAAAGTTTATTCCCTTATTATTAATTGAACTTACATTTGAAAATTTCTTCAAGTCTTTGATCGTGTAAAAATTATAACAAAATTCATTGTTCTATTATAATTTTGAGAGGCAGAACAGAATAAATTTTCATACATCACCATTCCGCCAAAAATATAGTCCCTGCTAGTTTTCAAACACAGTTTACCCTTTTTATTTTAAGTTGTACAATTGTGATGAGGAAAGAAAAATATGGTCTTTAAAACCCCTTTCACCTAAATATGTAAAACATATAAGCAAATATACTCTGAATGTTTCATCTAGTCAGAAACCAGAGAAGAACCCTACCTTAAGTCTTAAAAAAGAGTAACGTCAATTCTGCTAATGACTGTTTAACCTACGTGGAACTTCATTATGTGCATCTACATTTATCTCTGCATCCGGAAATACATTTGACCTTTTCTGATGTTTATCAGGTGAAGATGCAGTCTCATATAAGACAGTAGCTCTACGTATTTCAAGTAAAACTAGAGGTGTTCTGAACACTGAGCTCACTAAATGATACCCCCGTCTCCAATACTATCATAAAGGAAAAGTCCATGTTTTGCTCTGGAAAACCCGAAATAAGTTTCAGATCAAAAAGTGAAATATGAGGTACACAATGACACTATGTAACAAAGATCTGCGAAAGTATCATTAAATTTTATTCTGTGATATAGGACCTGGAGGATTTGTGAAAAAGAGATGGGTCCAATATTATACATGTAGAAAGAATGGGAGTGTCAGAATGTTTGCCATGGGAATAAAATAGGAGGTGCACAACGTAGCAAACATTCTGTGAAAGTCTCATTCAATCTCATTCAGTGGTATAGGAGAAGTTGTGGATAAGACATGGGTACCCCAAAGCTTACATATTGTAAAAAATTACGGGTTTCGGTACAATAACAAAACACAATTTCATTGCTATAGGTGTTCATTAAAATTCAATAAGTCACTTTTTCAAACTATTATTGTGTATGTACAAGAACTTTCTGGAGTTTTTACATGTTTATAAAGTTAAAAAATGTATATGATACAATTCCTATACGTTAATTAAATTACATCTACAGTTTAACATTTTACAAAAAAACAACTAGAGATTTAGATTGAATTGCTAATGATATTCAATTTAATCCTTTATTGGCACCTAGCACATTATACAGGAATATGTTGTAAGCCATACATTTACATTGATATCATACAAACTAGAGGTACTGTGAACTGAATGAATTCACTTAATGATACCCCTGCCTCCCATATGAATGTAATGGCAGTGTCCATGTTTTGCTATGGGAAACCCGAACTATGTGTCGGATCAAAAAGTAAAATTGGAGGTGCGCAATGGCAATATTTAATACAAACTCTGTAAATTTTATCAAATTTCATTCAGTGGCATGAGAGGACTTGCGGATAAAAGATTGGTACCGCAAAGCTTAACAGACGGACGGACGGACATACCGATTACTATATACCCTCAAGCGGGGAATTTAAATATTAAACTGTAACAAGCGTGTTTCTAACAATAAAACA